TCCTCAGTAGTGTGCATCTACAATCTCGCACACAGGACTCGAACCTGCGAGAAAGCTTAACCTTTAGATCGCTGAGCCGGTACCCAACTTCAATTAATCCATGAAATTGTGCCACTGTCCACCATTGTCTTCAGTGAGTTACTATCTCACAACAGACCTGGTTGAACTTCACTTGTCACTGCTTCTCACTAGAACTCCAGGAAATACCACTTGAAGCCAGTCACTAGTGAACATGTGATGATCATTATCAGAAAGAGGGGGTTTATGGATATTATAGTAACTTAATAAGGATATAAATCTAACATCTTTTTATATATTAGGAATATTAATGAGTTACGCAGCAAACCCTTAGTATTATCACAGAATATATAGATCACACTTTGAAACATGAGCTAGGTCATTCAATCTCTTTTCCCGATGTGTGTCTGAAAAGGAGGAGTGATGAATCTTTGAAAAGGTCTATTTACTGAAAACAGACATATAACAGCTAGCTAATCAACTTCTATATCTGGGTTCCACTGAGAAAGAAGAGGAATATTATTCTTTCTTTATTTCACCGAATACATCAGTTATTCAGTACAGAATGAGTTGAAGAACGTGTATTTCTTAGAAGAACCTGAGGTGAAAACAGCTGTTCAAGCTGCTTCATAGAGAATATATATATATATATATATATATGTATATATATATATATATGATTGTACAGCTGGATAATAATTTCATTGAACAGAGATTCCTTCTTGAAATTCTTGTTTTAATTGTTTAAATGGTAATTATATGTCAATACATTTTACTACAAAATACTTTCTGAATTTGTTGATAATTTTTCTCTAACTCTCTAGTCATCTACTAGAGACAACGTCTTGATATTCATCATTTACTCATGTTTCCATACTATAAAAAAGAGTAGCCTCTTTTTATATGGAATTTATATAGTTTTGCATTACTCTCAAACTACTTAATTACTTACGCCTGTTACTCCCAATGGAGCATAGGCCGCTGACCAGCATTCTCCAACCCACTCTGTCCTGTGCCTTCTTTTCTAGTTCCATCCAATTCTTGTTCATTTTCCTCATGTCTATCTCCATTTCTCGGCGTAATGTGTTCTTTGGTCTTCCTTTTTTCCTTTCGCCTTGAGGATTCCATGTGAGGGCTTGTCTTGTAACGCAGTTGGGTGCTTTCCTCAATGTGCTTAAACTACTTGGCATCGTGTATTGTTTCTTCTGAAAAGAGTAAGCTCAGAAATATGGAAGAACAGCTTTAGCATAAGAGATTGACGTAGAATAAATGAAATTTGGCTGGCAGTCGAATCCAGTACATGCGTTTCGTCCTATTTGGAACTCGTTACCTAGAAGTACTTGAATCTCAAAGTTGATGATCACCCCGGGACTCGAAATCAGTACCACTGCTAACCAAATTCCATCTATTCTATACCAACCTGTGTTATAATGGTTAATCTCGAAGGAATCAGAATAGAACGCCCATATAATAACCAAGGCTGGCCAAATTTTATTAAAAAAAAATAAAACAAATCAACAACGAGATAATTCGCACCATTTCAAATTGAATTTAATGTAAGAAGTTGTAGTGTTGTGATGTAATATTAAATATAGTTTCAGCCTTGTCACAATCCATACAATATATGTCTATTAGTAATCAAAACAATCAGTTTGTCTACAATTAATTTATCTTGGTATTTTCAACAGAATACTTAGACGAATAATTCGAAAATAAATATTATTCTATAGAATTACATTTATACTACTGTCTAAACTATTATTACATCGAAATTAATCAGTGTTTAAATAAAGCGGAACATTTTGATAGACGCCAAGAAGAAATTCTTTGACAGGATTAACTTATTAGTTAAGTTTCAATGTTTTCTATCATTATGCTTTACATGTGAAAAGAATTTGATAGACAAATTAGAATTTACTAAGAGTTAGTAAAGTTTAATTTGGTCTAATATATAGTATAGGAGAAACTCCATAAGATGGAGTCTGTGTGCAATATACTTGAAATGTTAAGTAATTTATTTTAGTTACAATTAATAGTTGATATTATTGTGATGTGAGTTACTTATACCCACATAAGTAGTATATAACGGTGGTCAGACATAGAATGTATTTCTGTTGAAGATCGAGAAGGAAATAACGAGAATGGAACGCAATTGGTATGAAAATGCATAAACAATGAAATCTGATACAATGGACTGATATTTGCAAAGCGAACAGTGAAGATTGAGACGATGGATTAATATATTGCAAATTACTAATATAGGGGTTGTGGAGATCATAAACCGATTGATGTTAGACCATCACAATTTAAGACCTGGAAGCACTGAACGGCCGTTTCGTCCCATTGTGGGACTCCTCAGCAGTGCCCATCCACGATCCCGCGAGCGGGATTCGAACCCAGGGCCTTCAGTCTCGCGCGCGAACGCTTAACCAACTGGATCACTGAGCCGCCATTCAGTGGTGATAGTTTCTAACATCAACCAATCCACGAAATTGCGCGACAAATTGCAAATTAACTATTCACTATATGATTCTCACATTTTATTGACATGCTCTGTAATTTCAAGTCTAGTACATACGATTGTACCCACTCGTGTTTTTGTTCATTATTAGAGTGGAAATAATCTCTGGGGTGCAGGGAGATCCGGCTGATGAGTCCTAAATGGGATGAAGTGCGCATCCTGGATTCAACTGCTAGCCAATATTCATCTTTGAATACAATTTAGTTAGAATTGAAAGAAAAGTCATGAATATCTTAGCGAGTCCAGTATTGAAAACCATGGAGAAGATAAATTTACTACCCTCATGAATAGCGAGATTCAGTGAAAGACAATGAAAAAGGCAATAACTAAAGGTTATTTAGCTGAAATCTAATGACGCACATTTTGAACTTCAGCCAGTGAATGATATGAGATTATCCTAAAAAAATATTATCGATGATTAATCATCAGACTCGGAACTTGATTGACTTCCCTATCTAGCTTCTGAGAATTCTAATATCGTTACGAAACTGTTGTCAAGTTCTTACTGATTGTTTAGCTTAAATTAGTCCATGGTGGTTTCAGATATATGTTTAATTCTGACAATGATATAATTACACAATTATTAGAAAGGTTTTAAATTATCCATTCCTAATAATAATGATAATAATAATAATAATAATAATAATAATAATAATAATATAAACAGTCAAATAGTTAATGACTTACTGAACTCAATAGCTCAATGAATAACGCCTTAGTTGTTGAAATATTAAAGGTAATAAATTAGTGTCCTTATGTGAAAACCAAAACTGGAATGCAGGTACATCCAGTTGACCAATCTCAAATAAAACGAAACGAACGTCGTGAATTCAACTTCTAGTCACAATCTATTTATTCAGTAATATATTTACTTTGTGTTTAGCTAACTCTAAGTGCTGACTTTCATATCAGTTATAAGTATGAATAATTTTGGTTAAAGTTTTATTTTAGTATCACATTTCCTAACATATTTTTTCAAGAACTTAAAAAACGGCACCGCAGTGAACGAGAACACGGGGAGGGACAATTAAATGTATTTAAACACAAAATTACAGACTCTTCTAGTAAAATCTGAGAACCATACTATAAAGACTTCATTTGCAAAATCTCGATCAATTGTCTCATACTCGATTGTTCTTTCGTTTCCACACCAATCATTCTCTGTTCTCATTCTCTTTTCTTCGATCTTCTTAACTTTCTACCGCCAGACATTTCATTTTCAACTGATGATATATACTACTTATATCTATCGATATCAGTAGCACACACAACGGTACATTTACGACTAATATGTTTGTTCATGCTTATATCTAATATTTTAAATGAATCAAACTGCAAACAATAAACCTTGGGATTATGAATCAGCTTTTTTAAATGATAAAGTGGGCAATACTTTCCTGATGTAGGAATAGTTTGTCAATTAATGCTGGTCGGTGTACGTTATTATGTCTGTTGGTTAATAACAATCTCCAAGACGACTTATACTTAGGTTTCCTTTCATTTAACTTTATTAATTTATTAATTACCCATTGCTTCAAAGTATTCAATCATTTTTATGTATCTGTTTTATAAAGAAAGAAAATTTTCCGCCTCTTTCCATTTTGTACTCTTCACTATCTAATTATTTACAAACTTCTTACTACGTAAAGGATTTAATTTTTTGTGATGACTATTCTAAATCTATCTACCCACGTTTGACCTTCTATTTCCAATGTTTGACTATTGATGAGACTTTTTGATATTTGAGATCATGAGTCAATTGAAGCTAGACCAACATGGAAAACGGCCGTTTCGTCCTATCGTAGGACTCCTCAGCAGTGCGCATCCACGATGTATCGCTCAATTTTGTGAATTAGTTGAAGTTAAACATTCACACCGTTGGATACCGGCCCATTGGTCTAGTGCCTAAGCGCTCGCACGCGAGACTGATAGGTCTCGGGTTCGAGTCACGCAGAGGGCGGGATCGTGGATGCTTACTGCTGGGGAGTCCCACAATATGACTAAACGGCCTTCCAGAGCTTGCAGGTTTTCCATGGCGGTTTAGCTTCAGATGACTAATGATCCCAACTATTGAAATTACTACAATCTCCACAAAACCGCTTCTGATAAAACTTTTATTATCGTATTTTATTATTCTTACTACTATCAGTACACCTGTCTTCCTACTATCAACTTGTACTTTTACCTATTATGTGTGGTGACTTATTCTATTTCAATGTGATTATTGACCCAAATTACCTTGATTGGTTTAACATTTTCGTATAAATATTCATGTATATTAGAGTAAAGCCTGATGACGATCTAATTGAAAACAATTGTCCGCTTATATAAGTTGTTCTAATTAAATCTTTACTTACAACTTCTATTCATTTATGTGTGTTTTATAAATTGTTATAGCTAAAGTATATTCATAACACGAGAAAAATACAGAGTTATTCTTATTTTTATACAATTTCATTAGGTCCAAGCTTTCGTAAAATTCAAACTCTTCATAATGGAAATGCAACACAGAAACGTTTTCCATCAGATACTACACTTAATTCAACAACAAGAGAAGGAGCTCAAGTAAGAAGTAACAATTTTATTCATTTTACCTTAAAAATTGAAATTGGTCAACATATTATTATTTACTTACGTAATCATTATTATGCTACCTGATCCCAAAGTTCAATTTAATTCTGTCTAATTAATTGTAGTTTATTAGCTTATGTAAGTAACTAAATGTCGTAGTTTACATTGATTGATGTTATATATCTGGCACGAAAAAAACAGAATTCTATGGATCTTAACAGAAGGTACCAAATATCACTAAAACTAGATCAGTTGAATTAGTCTAGATCAAATATTTTTCAATTTAGATCCTTTATAAAATTCAGGTAAACCACTACCTTCAAAAGTATTCATATTTCTTTATTGTGATAAATAGAATACAAAAAAGTTTCGAATGGAATATGTAAAACTCATAGGTAAATACTTCATTTTATTGTTATACATCTCTTGAATTCATTGTTGAGTTCACTAGTGTGTATTTTATCAGACTGGACATCTGCTCACTAGTGATTTACGTCAAGAGATACTCCTGGAGTTCTAGTGACCAGTGGAGTTCAACCAGGTCTGTTGTGAGATATCAACTCACTGAAGACAATGGTGGATGTGTCGATCAACTTCATGGGTTGGTTGAAGTTTGACATTAACACCATTGGATACCGGCTCATTGGTCTAGTTGGCTGAGCGCCTGGCGCAAGACTGACAGGTCCTGGGTTCGAATCTTGCGGGGGGCGGGATCGTGGATGCACACTGTTGAGGAATCTCATACTAGGTCGGAACGGCCTTCCAGTACTTGCAGGTTTTCCATGGTAGTCTAGCTTCAATTGGCTCATGATTTCAATCAGTGAATTCTTAAATAGATCATCTTTAAAACCTTGTTTCTTACTACCCCTCAATTGTTACATAACTTTAAATTTCTACTTTAAGTACTCCTGTAAATGACGTAATAATTCTATTCCTTATTTATGGATCACTATATGTAAAAAAGAAGCAATAGAAGCCGCGCCCACCTGGAGTCCCTCCGGGGGCTACGGACGGTCCCAAGCCCGGATAAAGGAGGAGGGTTGAGCATTGGGTTAACGACCCAACCCGTAGAAAACTAACTCGCTAAAAAAACGCTAACCAGAAAAGTATTCAACCCTTTTAAACTCTGCCCTGGGAGTCAGAAGGTCTTCATTTAGAAGAGCTATGACGCCTCATGATGAAAGCCGAGTCCCTTCGGAAGTCACGAGGCCGATGCTCCTTCTGACAACCAGAGCAACCATTTATTTAGGTACATGTAATACTCTTACAATGTGGGAGACCGGGAGAGTCTTCCAAATTGCTGCAGAAATGAGGAGATACAACATGGAGGTGCTTGGGCTTAGCAGAACTCATTGAATGAAAGTTGGACAACATATGTAAAAAAAAAGTAACCATAGATACAATTGTTCAGTTCTAGTAAATTAATATTACCAGAACAAAAATCTCTACACTGAAATGTCTTCGTATTGTTTAAATAATAAATATCAGTAATTCATAGGATATTCATTATCCACATAACAAAATCTCGATTTTCTCAACTAGTTCTTTAAACATCCATTTAATACCATAGTACTAAACACTAGAAATTAGAACAATAATTTCTAAAAATATGGTTCAAGAATTTGTTACTAGCATATCAACTGATATATTTTCTTTTTACATATCTTGGTCTAATTTCACAGCTGTTTTTTCCCCATTGTGTTTATTGTCTATTGGCTCGAGTTGTTTATTTTTTTCCTCTTTCATAATTAGTTTTATCCATGTGTACATAATTGTTGTGATCTATAAGTTATTGATCCATATGTAAGGTAACCAATGACGTAGTTTGGAATCTTTCTGTAAATGTCACCGCTTAAATTAGTTAGTAGTACCTTAAATATATATTTATTCCTTTCTTTTATGTTATTTTTAGTTTAAATATAGCTAACTGGTATTGGAATTCAATATAATAACCATGTAGATGCATAATAAAACAAGATATTTTATCATGAGAGATAGTTCGAAAGATATAAGGAGTGAGAAGAATGTCATGAAATTTCGATATAATTTCGATTATTGCTTACTGACTTTTAAGTACATGTATACTTCCAACTGTTTGAATGCCTAGTTAGAATGACAATAACATTGCAACACATACTTTGATGATAAAGCACCTATGTCGAACCCACATATGTTATTCTAGTTTCTGGACAAACCAATCTATTCAATTTCTCTTAAACTACATTTTTAATTTTGTTAATTATTTGATTCGTCTTGCTTAGCCTTTCCTTTGCCTTGCTTTACTTCGAATTGATTTGGCTATAACTACTGACTAACGCTTAATTAAAGGGAGTTGATTCACATGCCCATTTTACTGAGCGTCGTTTCGTTTCGTTTATTTCGATGCGATTCTCTGATTGTCTATTTTGAATAACGATTGTACAAAATATACGTATTCAAGACTTCATTATCGTATTTGACTTATTTAATTTCGTTCTTTACTTCATCACTATCAAAGATAAATAAATTTCGTTAATAGAAACCATGAATTACTCATATTAACTAATTCTCCTTACATTCATTACTAGTTAAGACATTAATAAATCCATGAGGTTACTCTTGTACACTTTACAAAGTAACGCTACACAACTGAGTATGTTGACAAATACATTTATACTGGTTTAATTCAGATACATACCATCAGAATTAGAACTTCTAAAATCAAACCGATTAAATGTTAATAGTAAAATCTGATTAAAACTTGCCAATCGCCTAACTATAACCATCTAGAAGTGGAAAATGTATGTATCTATGTTGAGTTGCATAATTTAGTGATTGGACTGTCGACCAACCTAACTGGATTTAGTGTATATAAACTGCCAGTAATGGCTCTGGTACCAGTGAGTACACGAATCGCGCAATCTATTCCCAAGCTTAAATATGTGGTACTTCGTGTTCCGACATTAAAGCGACTGTAAGTTTTCCTTATTCCTTATGATAATCTTTGCTGATGTGATCATAAATAATAAAAACACAATTACTGGTCTGTGTTATTGAAATATGTGATTATTGTGCATCAGTGAGCACTTTTCTTCGGTCAAATATGTAAAGATATGTCATTCTAAGAAGAAAATCATCTCATTATAATACTTACTTACTTACGCCTGTTACACCCAATCGAGCATAGGTTGCCGACCAGCATTCTCCAACCCACTCTGTTCTGCACCTTCCTTTATAGTTCTATCCAATTGTTGTTCATTCTTCTCACGTCTATCTCGGAGTAGTGTGTTCTTTGGTCTTCCTCTCCTCCTTTGAGCTTGAGGATTCCATGTGAGGGCTTGCCTTGTGACACATTGGGTGCTTTCCTCAATGTGTATCCTATCCACTTCCAACACTTCTTCCTGATTTCTTCCTCCTCTGGATTCTCGTTTGTTCTCTTTCATAGTAGGTTGTTGTTGTTGGTAGAGTCTGTCCAACGAATCCGAAGTATTTTGCGTAGACAACTGTTAATAAACATGTGTATCTTCTGGATGATGGCTTTTGTTGTTCCCCGAGTTTCCACGCCATATAGTAGAACTGTGTTGACATTTGTATTGAAAATTGTGACTTTAGTGTTGGTTACCAATCATATCTGCACCAGATCCACCATGTTCATCAATGATGCTACCCAAATATGTAAAGGTTTTTACATCTTCCAAATCTTCTCCGTGAAGTGTGATTTGATTGTTGCATGTTGTGTTGTATCGCAGAATCTTGCTTTTCTCTTTATGTATGTTGCTCATAATAATACCGAAATACTAATACTATTACTACTACTACTCACAATGTCAATAATAATAATAATAACAATAATAAAATCATGCTTTTTTGTGGGTGGAATGTAATTGGTAGATAATTACAAGTAGGAAAGGGTTTTACCATATAGAATGGTTGATAATTTCATGAAATACAGTTTACAAACCATAAAATATTGTCAGTAAATTACTAACTTCAGTTTTTCAGTAATTTAAACACTCTTAATCATTGGATTTCAGGTCAATGGCCTACAGCAACACACCTTCCGTAAGATCTTAATGTCTTGTTTCTAATCTCTGGCATGGTTTTGAGTAGGCAATTTTAAGGAGTTTCAAAATAAAGCAGAACGGTTGTCCAGTACTCCCGTTATTTTTAAATGTTATTTCAGTTGATATAACATTGTGATAGAAACCGATATTAACTTAAATGTTTATGGTTATCAATGGAAATAAATTGTAATTCATCTGAGATAGTTATTACATGAAAAAGATAAGTTAATTTTATAACACTAGGATTATGTCAATTATGTCGCCAGTATGAATGATTTAGATACACTGGAGTGAGATGAGTGGAAAGCAAACAAACAACATCGATAGTGGACTATAGTAAATAAGCTATCAGTTAAAAATGAGTAAAAAACAAACTGAGATATGTTTTTTAACCATTTGTGTATTAAGACAGGAAACATATTCACAAACCCTATGTAACATAAATGAAGTGATTTCAATAATTTTCTCTTATATCTTATATGTGTTTTACATGAACACATTTTATTTTAATTGGTAACAGGAAATTAGATATAAACAAATGGTAAAATTATAATTTATGGACGACCTTTGGGCGACGCTAGGCTGACCTTTATGAGTATCCACCTGATAACTAGAATCAAGTGAGGGTTATAAATTAGCGTGAGGAATTCGAATTATGATTTACGGTTGATGGTTAAGGTTAGAAATTAGATTTAGGGTTTTCATCACGAACTGACACCAGATATAATGTCAAGACTCTATTTAGCCAAATGAATGAGTGAATTTCCCACCAAAATCTAAGACCTGTTATCTTATACCTGATTAGTTCGTCCATAAATTATAGACTCGCCTGAACAAATTCTTAAAATCAAATGCAAATATTGAGATGTAGATAATTAACTTCATTTTTCAGTTGATTCCCGCCTATTTTTGAAAGAACATAATTATAGGAAGCGGTATTATGTAATAAAG